GCCACCGGGCCGGGTTTAAAAACTATGGGCCAAACTCAAGAAAACTGTCTCCATTTCCCGGAAGAATCTACGCGTGGTATTTCCTTCCAATATTTTTCTTGAACTTTGCTACTTAAAAGAGTTGAGAAAAAGACCTTAAATAGCCATTTCAGCTTCTTTAACACTGGAAGGGATCCCAATATCCAATCTCATGGTTGATTTATATTGGTCTGGCACAGCAGCACCAGCCTGAAAGCATATTTCCACAACAGCAGGGGCTTGTCCGTAGAAGTTCCTCAGCTCCCTTCGCAATGGCAGCCCAACCACATCGGGAACATGCCAGACATATCTTGGCGGTATCAAGTCATCGAGCACAGCAGACTGCCAACCATGCTGTCCATTCCGTTGTTGGTGCTTGTGGGCCCCACAGTTCTGTGCCTTATGCCCACTAGGTCCCACATGGACCTCTGGGCAATATCCACAAGCTCTCACACGGTACATCTGCATTAACCTCTTGGCTCCTTTCCTCATCTTTTCCCATGCTTGCAGTGTTTCCTCAGCAAGCAAGGTTTTTTCTACTTCATTAGCCGGGGCTACCGCTTCTGAGATGGATATTTCGATTAATAATGGCTTTAGAGGAACCTCTAGAAGGTCTGGCAGATCACTTTCATCTGCATCAGCAAATTCCCTTTTTCCTATGCGAATAATTGGTTTTCTCCTCCTTTTTGTTGGATATTCAGGAATGTGAACTCCAGCTTGGATACAGAGCTCCATTACTGCAGGAATTTGGGGGATTGAAAATCTCTCCTCATGAGTAATTCGTTTTCCAAGGCGGTCATAAAGGTGGTAGGCTTCTACTGGCACAAGTACATCTTCAATGGCTGCATTTGTCCACTGATGAAGGCCATTGCGGAGGGTAGCATGTTTGCCTTTACACGACTTGAATGGATGTCCTTCAGGTCCCACATGGATTTCATCACACCACCTGCAAGAGGTATATAGTAGCCACTATAATACAGTAACCTTCAAACCATGAGAAGAAAGGTAAAGCCATATTCACCAAAAAGGCTGAATTCTGACACATGATGATCCTTTATCCAACTATATTCAATGCATATATGCACAATATAGATAAGAGTTCTTTGTTTCACACAGTTAATTTACCAACAAATTGTATGTAGTAACAAAATAACTTATCAAAATTCACTATTACCATTTCCCTGCAAAGCACAAAATTCAAGATGCTTCATATCCATGCTAAAACTCCAAACACAAGTACAATATACAATTCCCTTTTATCATTTTATACCATTTATTTCTCAATTGTCAATGAGAGCAGATCGCACCAGATCAACTTCTGTGCACAATGAACATTGACAAGCAATAAAATCTCCTTTAGATGCAGTCATCTATAAAAAGGACCACCAGAGACAACATATGACTCCCGAACCATATATTTTTCTTTAGCATGGCGTGGCCAGAAGTTCATGGAAGGAACAGCATGAGTAACAGCGTGATTGGTCAACATGACTAAAATTGGGCATGGGAGAGCAAGACATAAAATTCACTTAAAATAACCATTTTTTGGCAAATAATCATTTGATTGGATTACAAGATTGTAACCAAGAGCCATTGTTTTCAGAGACTGAGAAAAGGAAGGAAATTACCCACATGCATGCACGGGAACCACTTTTAACAGTTTCCTGAGATTGTTAATCAATGTGATTCTTGCATTGAACACATCATAAGCAAGTGGTAAAAGGCTTTGAACGATCAACCCTTTCTTTGGAGGTGGCACCCGTCCTTTAGGTTGGCCTTTACTCTTCTTGAGCCTCTCCCTTGCAGCTCGTCTCAACTCAACTATGGGTACTGGAAAGGGCTTCTTCTCCTTTCTCGAATAATTCCGAGGGAAATCAGCATTTTGAGGATGTTCATTTGAAATAACCAATGCGTGTGGTTCATGCAACCTTGTTGGTGTTGTTCTAGGATTTAATGAATGCCTAACTTTTACATTGCTATGCTGCAGAGAAAAAAGAAAATTCTTTTCATCAGAAAGAGATAAATTACCAAACAAAAAACAGAATCTGGCACTTCATTATACAGTAAGCATAAAGATGACTGATTAGAAAGTCAAGTATACATCATACTCAAGAAACACTGTTTAAGGCTAAAATTGATATAAAACTATGACCCGGACAGGAGCAAAGGATAACAGGGTTTGTTATAAGTCAAAATTCTCAAAGACCAAGAACACCATAGCTACTGAAGACTCTCAAAACACTTAATTTTATTCATCCATGTCTCCTTTGTCAAAAGGCTATGGCAACCTTTTATATAGCAAAAACAAAAAAAATGCTCATAATACTGAATATGAAAAACAAACTAGGAAAACTATTCCCTTTAAATAGAAAAAAAAAACTAGAAAAGCATAATAATAAAGAATAGAAAAAAAATTGAAAAAAAAATTAACTAAGAAAAATATCTATTTTCCTGAAAAAAAAGTTCCACTCGAAACTGTAGCAAAATAATACTGTTTATTGGCAACCCTTTATGGTGGTGATGACTACCTATGGCTCATTTCAAGTTGATCTAAGCTATTTCACCAGTCAGTTGGGTGAGATATATTCATTGATAGTTTATTTCCTCAGGAACTTAGGTGCATGTGTGCAATGAAAATCATCATCTGTAGCCTTTACTGATTGAGCTTCAATCACATTATCCATACGGAAATAAACATTCATCAGTCCACATATTTCATCCACCAAAACACATAATTGATTGAATCAATTTCCCATTAAAGCTGCCAAGGCCCATAACTAATACGGTCACATTTTTCCATCAATAGAGATTAAAAATATTTGTCAACATGCAACATTTTGATGTGTAAGAATTTTAACTGCAGAAGATGAAACCATTACTTTTCTCAAACAGCACTTTTGTTTGCAGTGTAAACAACAGTGCAATCAATCGTGCAGATTTTCACAAGAGATAATAAAACTAAACAAAGCCACATCTCGCAAAAGCTAAATCAGGGGAATGACAACTAAGATTACAACAAAGTAATTCCAATACCTAAACTGATCCTAGAGTTGTCGAACTCCTAAGCAGTCAAACACATTTCTCTCACTACACACAACTTCAAAAAAATAAAATCAGAGGCCATGTATAATACACCATAAGACTAGCCTCTTCACATACTTCTCAAACAAGTGAAACAAATGTTCCTAATTAGCATGGAAAACCAATGAGCTAGAACAAATATAATAGCCTAATGAAATAAAAAGGTATTTAACCGAACAATACAAAGAGAATAAAACACATCATCAAATTTCACTTGCTTTCTTGTTTCATGGAAGAGAAGAAACCCAATACAGTAAAGTAGATAATGAATATAAATTATAACGAAAACCCAGATTAGCCGAGCATGAATTAGTCATTACAGCTTCATGGTATACCTGAAAAGAATGGAGGTAACTGAGTTTGAGAAACTCTGATCTCTGGTCATAAGAAACAGTGAAAGGCTCCATTTTGAGAGAGGAAGCCCTCAATTTAGAATGATACAAATCCATGACACATAAAGGGTAGTTAGAAGAAGACCCACAGTCTTTCCCTGAAACCATGTTTGCCAACAAGTTTAATTCAAACCGAAAAACAAAACAAAAACACTTTCTAAAAATTTGAAACTAGAGAAGTGTACTTACACGATGCAACTGAAGAGATTATCATTTTTATGGTGGGGGAGACGAGAATCAGAAGAAAAGTTGGGTGCTTTAAGCCATTGTCTACAAAGAATAGGAACTGCTGGCTAGCTCTTAGCCAAAGCTCTCTCCCGCAGACAAATATCATGAGAGATGAAGATGAAGATCATCTTTAAATGGGCCAAAAGAGTCCAATTTCATAGCTGAGCTCCAGATTAAAGTGTCATGGGCCAGATTAATACAGTTGAGAAGCTTGAAATGGTATGAGCTAGACTGGGCTCGTGAATGGTTACAGATTAAAATTTAATGGGCCAGATAAAGTAACAAAACTGAAATACCAATAGATTAATTGATAATCATATGCCTTTTATCTTTATTTTTAATACTATAATCATAGAATTTACGATTTTAATGATTATAAATTCACTCATCACTCGAGTTTAAAAATCTAGGAACATTCAATACACATTTGCTTTCCCCAGTAATTATTTTTTTTCGTTTAACAAGCATAGTTTATACCAAATTATTGATATTACCCCAACCCACATAAAAATAAGTTTTTGGAATGTAAAAAACCATTATCTAAACTCTACATCCTTGAAGATTTTTTTATGTATTATTATTAAACTTGAAAAATCTTCACCCGACTCTTTGACTTTAAATTAAATTGTGGGAGTTACTTGATCTTGTTTACTTAATATATCCAAAGAAAAAATAATAATAATAAGCAAGTTAGGTTCATTATAATCAACTCGTTAAATTTGCGATCTGAATTATAAACTTTATTAGATTTAATTATTATTTTTATTTTAATAAATAAAAAAAAATATAAAAAATAATTTATAATAAATTCATTACTGAATGATAAAATTCAATAAAAATTTAATATTAAAAAATAAAATTAAAAAAAAAAACACTAGTACACTCAAGTAGAAAATTTAAGGGAAGAATTCCATCTAATTTAGCATGATTTGGCTTGACCTAATTTTATTTATTCATAGTCTAAAAGTAATTTAGTTATGCTATTATTGTTAATTTTGTTTATCAATACTTGTCAATTGAAAGGTTGTATATACTAAGTTCCTTTTATGAATCAAGTTTTAATTTAAGGAAATGATAACATGAAATTGGACCCAAATTCTTTAGCATGAATTGTCACAGTCCCAAGCCATCAACATGTTAAAAAAAAGTCTAATGAATTGTCACAGTCCCAAGCCATTAACATGTTAAAAAAAATCTAATGAATTGTATGTCAAAAAAAAGTCCAAGCATGCGGGCTTGAGAAAGACATATGTATTTCAGTCCAAGCATGCGGGCTTGAGAAAGACATGTATTTCAACCAATTTTTTAAGAATTATCTTAAATATAAAAGTGAGATAAAAATAAAAAATTAGGAATTGAAGATATTATTTTGAAATTAAATATAAAAAAGGACAATAAATTATGGGAAGATAAGCTATCTCTTCTATATAGCTTTTAAGACAAAACTTGTTATTGAAAAAAAAATATTGATAAAGAGTTTAACAAAAAAAAACATTTGATTTGTAATAACATAGGACACCCATCCAAGGATTATATAAATAAAGCTCAACAACATATTCTAAAAACAAAAATAATTGTTGAGTTAATATCAGTAAAGTTAATTACCTCATTAATAAAGTTTTAAAAATGAATATATTTGTTATTATTTTTAAAATCAACCTAATAAAATATTTTGAGCAATCATGAGTTGACATTAGTATAACAAGATATTTATACACTGAAAATAAAATGTTAATGTTCTTCACTTAGAAATAAATAGTTAGCAAACACTTATATATTAAAAATTAATCAATTTTTAAGATATTACATATTAAGAAGTTCACATTAAAGATGACTTCTAAAAAATATATGATTTTTAATTATAGAAAAATGATCGAAATATTTAATTTTTATTTATATATGCCTCCACTTTTTAAAAGACAATTACAACCCTTTTATATATAAAAAAAAAACATAGAAAAACCATCCCTTCCAATAAAATAAATCTAAGTAAAGCATAATAATACATAATAGAGAAATAAAAATAGAAAAACCATCCCTTCAAATAAAATAAATCTAAGTAAAGTATAATAATACATAACAGAGAAATAAAAATAGAAAAACATCAAATTAACTAAAAAAACTTTCCATTTTCCTAAAAAATTGCCAACATCATAATTTCAATAGCACAATTGACTCATAAAATAACATTGTGCTACTGATCAGGCGCAACATAAAGCTGCCATTCATGTGAATCACTCTAAGAACATGATATTTCTATCGTCTTTGTTATAGCAGCATTCATGCTTAGCCTAATTGGCATATGTAAAATCAATTGGATATGAAAATAAACAGATAAGATAGTCAATTGAGTTGCAAAGCACCCCACCCATGCCAGCAGGACTAGGTTTTCCTAGAGAGAGATCATCTGCATTCTATTTGAGAAAAAACTGTGCTGGAAGAACCAAAAGGATGCAGGGAAGATCTAGCATGGTAGATCCACCTCATGATATAGGGAAACATTGGATAAATTGCCTCCAACCAAACAGCTAACCTTATGAAGAAAACGTTCTCAATTTATTTTTGTATTCTGTGGTCTGTTTATTTATGTAGGTTTTAGCCATTCAAAGGAAATCAGATGCCGAAATAGTGTAGCAAATTGTCAACATTTGCAAATTGTCAATATTTTTTCTCATCTACCATCAACCACTTCCAACCACCATTCAACCTCCCTCAACCAAGCTGTCAAGGCTCTCCTATAAATAGAGATAAAGAGAGAGCAATGTAAGGCAAGTGTAGTGTAAGTGGTGAGAGCAAAAGTGTAGTGCAAGTGTGGTGAGTGCAACTGTGAAAGTGAGAAAATGCAGATTTGAGAGAAACACTGAGTGTAAGAGTGTAACACCGGGTTTTGTGGAATTGTACTGGGTTGAGTTGAGTGTTTGTATCATTCCTCCAATAATATATATTCTACTGTCTCTGTGGACGTACCCGATTTTGGAGAACCATGTAAATCTGTTGTTTGTGTTTTATTTGTATTTGCTTTTGATCCAGTATAGGCAACAAATAGGTCTAATATTGGTAGCTGTTACTGTCATGACCAATGCCCTGATGTATGCTCAAAAGCTTTACGTGCAAACCAGATCCTACTGGTAACAAATATTGTTGCTGCACTGATCCATGATCGTCAGCAGAGATTCCTCTCGTCGATACGAGTCCGGCGATATAAAGATCATCAAAATCAGAGTTGAAACGAGCCTTGTAAAGCTCGCCAAAGTTTTGCCAAAAATCTGCCGGAAAAACCAGACAATGCCGGAATCCTCGCCTGAGAAGACAGCCACGTCATCTGACACGTTGCGCGCTAGTCACCATCCACGTCATCAACAGAGGGTCCACATTGCCATGTCATCAGACACATCATAACAGTGACAGAATATTCTCTTGACAGAATAAGAATATTTCGTTGACAGTAAGAGAATATTTCGTGACAGAATATTCTTCATCAGAGACAGAATATTCCTTCCCTGAGTTAACTTGGTCAGATTGGTTTTTTGGCCAACTCAGTGATTTTTTGACCGGTTTTAGGCAGAGTCAAGTTGGTTCCTAGCATTACATCCCGGTATCAGTACCAAATTTGAGGTGGAGAAGTTTGATGGGAAAGGTAATTTTGGCATATGGAAATGTGAAGTTATAGATATGCTTGTCCAAATGAATTTGAATTTCACTCTAGAAGATAAACCAGAGGATTTGGATGAGAAGAGCTGGGAAAGGATCAATCGGTTGGCCTGCAGTTCTATCCGACTTTGTCTTGTAAAGGATCAAAAGTATGCCTTTTCAGAACAAAACTCTGCAAAAGAATTATGGCAAGCACTAGAGGACAAGTTTATGAAAAAGAGTATAGATAATTGTCTCTACTTGAAGAAAAGGAATTTTCATTTTCAACACAAGAAAGGTACTTCCATAAATGAGCATCTGAATGATTTCAATAAAATGATAGCTGATTTGAAGAATTTGGATGTGGAAATCGATGATGAAGATAATGCTATTTTATTATTGAATTCACTGTCTAACACATATGAACATCTCATCACCACTTTACTGTATGGTAAAGAAAAGATTAAATTCATTGATGTGTCTAATGCTTTGATGAACAATGAGTACCAGAAGAAGGATCAGATTGTTCATAAGGAGTCAACGTCAGAAGCATTGACAGTTAGAGGCAGAACAAACCCAGGATATTTCAAGGGCGAGGGAGATCTCGCTCAAAATCCAGAGGAGAATCATCAAACAGACGATATCTCGCAAAAGATGAGTGTGCTTTTTGTCACAAAAAAGGGCACTAGAAGAAAGATTGTTCGATCAAGGGCAAGGCAACAAAGAAAAGGATGAACCAAATATGAACGTTGCACGAGATGAGGATGAACAAGACTCTACATTCATGGTCTCATCACCAGAAAACCATTCTGGTGAATGGATTCTTGATTCTGCATGTTCCTATCACATGTGCCCTAACAAGCACTTATTCTCGAGACTCGAGGAGTTCGATGGAGGAGTTGTGTTGATGGGTAATGATGATGTTTGTGAGATCAAAGGGATTGGGACTATCCATCTGAAGATGCATAATGGGGTAGTCAAGACACTGACAGAGGTACGGTATGTACCTGACCTGAAGAAAAATCTCTTCTCACTTGGAGTCCTAGAATCCAATGGTTATAAGATTATCATGCATGGTGGAGTCCTGAGAGCAATCCGTGGTGCATTAGTTGTCTTAAGAGGCACGAGGAAAGGAAACTTATATTTCCTGGATGGATCTACTGTTACCGGTACAGCAGCTGTTTCCAAAAGCATAGAAGATGATGAAGCAGATAATTCCAGACTTTGGCACATGCGTTTAGGGCATGCTGGTGAAAAGGCTTTGCAAGGATTGGTCAAGCAAGGTCTATTAAAAGGCGCCAAGACTGGGAAGCATGGGTTCTGTGAGCATTGTGTTCTTGGAAAACAGACAAGAGTCAAGTTTGGCACTGCGGTACACAATACAAAAGGGATTCTTGATTATGTTCACACAGACGTATGGGGACCTTCAAAGAATGAATCTCTTGGAGGTAATCGTTGGTTTGTTACTTTTATCGATGATTTCTCAAGACGAGTATGGGTGTACATGATGAAACACAAGGATGAGGTCCTTGATATCTTTCTGAAATGGAAGAAAATGGTGGAGACTCAAACGGGAAGGAGAGTTAAGACTCTTCGGTCAGATAATGGTGGTGAGTACACTTCAGATCCTTTCTTTAAAGTTTGCCAGGATGAAGGGATCAAACGACATTTTACTGTGCGTAAAACACCACAACAAAATGGAGTAGCAGAACGCATGAATCGCACATTGGTAGAGAAAGTCCGATGTATGCTATCACATTCAGGACTAAGCAAAGTGTTCTGGGGCGAGGCATTAAGCTATGCTCGTCATATTGTTAACCGGTTACCTTCAGCAGCATTAAATGGAAGAACCCCTTTAGAGGTATGGTCAGGCTCTCCTGCAAATGATTATGACTCTATGCGTATATTTGGTTGCTCAGCATATTATCATGTTACTGAGTCCAAGCTAGATCCTAGAGCCAAGAAAGCTATATTTTTGGGCTTTAGTGGAGGAGTAAAAGGTTACAGACTCTGGTGTTCTGAATCAAAGAAAGTGATTTTGAGTAGAGATGTCACTTTTGATGAGTCTGGCATGTTACAACAAGAGAAATCACAGGAGAAGGAAAAACAGTCTGGTGATGCACAACAGGTGGAGTTGGAGACTTCAGTCATTCCTATAAAGACTGTTCAGACAATCTCTACTGAAGGAGATTCAGATGAAAGTTCAGATGAAGAGGATGCAACAACTTCAGCAACCACACAACAAGAATCCATTGCAACGAGTAAACCGAAAAGAGTTATCAAGAAACCTGCTCGGTATTGTAACTTGGTGGCTTATGTACTTCCGATGATTGATGACGGAATCCCCTGCACCTACAAAGAAGCAGTACAGAGTGTAGAAAGTGCAAAATGGAAAGAGGCAATGGATGAAGAGATGAAATCTCTCCACAAGAATCAGACTTGGGAGGAGTTAGCCTAACTTGATGTGAAAACTGACTTCCTACATGGAGATTTGGAAATAAAATTTACATGTCTCAGCCAGATGGTTTCAAAGTCACTGGGAAAGAGAATTGGGCTTGTAAACTGAAAAAAATCATTGTATGGATTGAAACAATCTCCTCGCCAGTGGTATAAGCGATTTGATAAGTTCATGATAGAACATGGATACACACAGAGTCAGTTTGATCACTGTGTATATTTTCGCAAACTTCTTGATGGTTCTTTCATCTATTTGCTCTTATATGTGGATGATATATTGATCGCATCAAATAGCAAAGTGGAGATTGACAGACTGAAAGCTCAACTGAGAACTGAGTTTGAAATGAAGGACCTTGGAGAAGCTAAAAAGATTCTTGGCATGGAGATTCAGAGAGACAGAAGAAAAGGCACAATCTGTTTGACACAGACCCAATACTTGAAGAAAATTCTAAAGAGATTTGGGGTAGATGGTAAGACCAAGCCTGTAAGTACACCTCTAGCTCCTCATTTTAAGCTAAGTGCTTCAATGTCTCCACGCACAGAGGAAGAGCGCAAGCATATGGTTCAAATTCCGTATGCAAATGCAGTTGGTGCATTAATGTATGCAATGGTTTGTACGAGACCAGATATTTCACATGCAGTCAGTATGGTGAGCAGGTATATGCATGATCCGGGAAAGGGTCATTGGCAGGCAGTTAAGTGGATTCTACGGTACATTCATGGCACAACTGATATTGGTTTGAAGTTTGAGAGGGATGATAGACTCAAACAAAATTTAGTTGGTTATGTGGATTCGGACTATGCTGGTGACTTAGACAAGCGTCGTTCCACAACAGGCTATGTGTTTACACTTGCTAAAGGGCCTGTAAGTTGGAGGTCAACTTTACAATCAACAGTAGCTTTGTCAACAACTGAGGCAGAGTACATGGCAGTAACAGAAGCTTTCAAGGAAGCTATATGGTTACATGGGTTGATTGAAGATTTGGGAATTGTTCAAGAGCACGTGAATGTCCATTGTGATAGTCAAAGTGCTATTTGTCTTGCAAAGAATCAGGTTCATCATTCCCGCACCAAGCACATCGATGTTCGATTTCATTTTGTTCGAGAAATTATGGATGAAGGGGATATTCTGCTACAGAAGATTGGTACCGCAGATAATCCAGCTGACATGCTCACAAAATGTGTCTCAGGGATCAAGTTCCAACATTGTTTGGACTTGATCAACATATCTTGGTGTTGAGCACCTTCAGGGTGCAGAGTCATATGGCGCGTTAGAGGCAGCATTGATTGATCACGAGAATTGAATGAAAAAAAATCTTGCTAAGGTGGAGATTTGTAGCAAATTGTCAACATTTGCAAATTGTCAACATTTTTTCTCATCTACCATCAACCACCCTCTCCTTTAACAACCACCATCAACCACTTCCAACCACCATTCAACCTCCCTCAACCAAGCTGTCAAGGCTCTCCTATAAATAGAGATAAAGAGAGAGCAATGTAAGGCAAATGCAGTGTAAGTGGTGAGAGCAAAAGTGTAGTACAAGTGTGGTGAGTGCAACTGTGAGAGTGAGAAAATGCAGATTTGAGAGAAACACTGAGTGTAAGAGTGTAACACCGGGTTTTGTGGAATTATACTGGGTTGAGTTGAGTGTTTGTATCATTCCTCCAATAATATATATTCTACTGTCTCTGTGGACGTACCCGATTTTGGAGAACCATGTAAATCTGTTGTTTGTGTTTTATTTGTATTTGCTTTTGATCCAGTATAGGCAACAAATAGGTCTAATATTGGTAGCTGTTACTGTCATGACCAATGCCCTGATGTATGCTCAAAAGCTTTACGTGCAAACCAGATCCTACTGGTAACAAATATTGTTGCTGCACTGATCCATGATCGTCAGCAAATGTGACAAGTCAGGCGAGGCCTCCCTCTCTCATAGATGAAGTGAATGCAAAGACGTAAAACCATACTGGGAAAAAATTATGTTAGCTATCATTCAAGTATCGAAGGCTAGAGCTTACATACCAGATGATGAGTTAATTTATTTTTATTTTGTCATATAAGGTTTGAAACTTAAGAAAAGAGGCAAGAAACAAGGATGTTAATTACACAGATACAGTAAGAAAATGATTTGAGCATATATGGCATAAGAAAAGCTTCTTGTCTTTCATATTATTCCTCTACATTTTATAAAACATCCACGAGATTTAAATGCTTTCACACTCATTCTGTTCGTCTCCCAATACTAACCTAACCATCATCTTTCTCAATCATCTCTTTTTCTTTATACAGCTCTGATCTTTTGGCCTGCAATAGCTCCTGCATCCCAAGCTTCCTTTCTACTAGTTTTAAAAGAATCCCAAGTCGTAGCACCCAAGAACGGTCACCATGGCAACAATAGATATTGCAATCCTGCTTGTAGCTCTCACAGGTCATTTTACCCTAACCAAGAGCACCACCATGGTTGCACTTGCACCTACCATCCCCAAACCTAAGCGATTGGTCACCAAACTAATTCATCGCGACTCCATCTTTTCTCCCCGTTATAATGCTAATGGCACCATTGTTGATCGTGCAAGACGTGCTATGCAAACTTCAATTGCGCGTTTTGTTCAGGTGTCGGCACTAGTCTCGGATAGCCATGACATTCGAACAAGTCTTCTCCATAGCCAGCCCAGTTAACTATTCTACATAAATTTTTCGATCGGCCATCCACCACTTCCACAGCATGCAATCATGGACAGTGGTGGTAGTTTTCTATGGATCAAGTGCCTTCCTTGCATTCCTTGTTCAAGCAAATCACCTATTTCAATTTTGGATCCCAGCAAGTCTTTCACTTATTCTAGCATGTCATGCAGGAGATATAGGTGTAACTATTCCAAATGCAACTCCTATAATGAATGTAATTACAATATAACATATGTTCGAGGTCCAGGATCGACCGGGATCTATGTTTTTGAACAACTTACCTTCGAGACGATAGACGACATGAAGATTGTGGTGCCGAGGGTACTTTTGGGGTGTGGTCGAAATCTTGAAGTTGATAAAGGTCAATACAATGGAGTTTTTGGACTTGGAGCTGGCAGGGAGACATCTTTAATAACTCAATTAGGTTCTCAATTCTGATCCTACTACGTTGGTAATATAATGGATCCTAATTATCCTTACAACCATCTATCCTTAGGTGATGGAGCAATAATAGAAGGTGATTCAACACCTTTAGAAAGCAGCTATGGCCGCTACTACGTAACACTAGAAGGAATCAGTATAGAAGGTAAACTGCTAGAGATGGACCGTCGTATTTTTGAAAGGACAGCCATGGTTGATAATGGAGTGATCCTTGATTCAGGAACTACATATACTTGGCTAGCCCAAGATGCATATAATGCACTTAGCGAAGAAGTTCAAAGTCTCTTCAGAGAGATGTTACAACGGTACAAAGGCATGCCAAACCAACTGTGCTCCATTGGGAGTGTGAGGGAGGATCTTAGTGGGTTTCCGGCAGTGACTTTCCATATTGCGAATGGAGCACAATTAGCGCTCGACACACAAAGTATGTTTCTTCACATAGCTCCAAGAGTGTTTTGACTGGCCATAGGTTCTAGTGCTGCCAATGGAGACAACTCCAAAAATTTGTCCGTCATTGGAATGATGGCCCAACAGAACTATAATGTGGATTACGACATTGGTCAAAACAAGTTGTACTTCCAAAGAATTGATTGTGAGCTTCTTGAGGACTAGAGCATGAATTGAAATATCAGAGTCTCCTTTTCTTTTAAGTTCTCAGCATACGAGGCTTACAACGTCCAATGATCCAATACAGCAATCGCACTCTTGAACACAAGAGAGCAAACAAAACAAAATGGCCATCATGAGTGCAGTATATATATAACGGAGGCACTGCCATGCAGAGAACTAAATCGTGAATTAGAAACGAAAATTAAGCATGAAAATTTTATTGTGGACAGTAGACAGTTTATCAGGGAATAGTTTGTAAGGTGGGCACAAGCACTGATAGTACAAGGATTGATTCTCATTTCTAGAATGGGGAGTGCAGGGTGGCTGCTTTACAATCCCCCTAGATGTCACAGGAAAGGGAAACATCAAGACAAACCAGGAAAAAACTGTAAAAATAGCTAGATCTACCAAACCTGTGTTTAAGATGCTAATTATATTTTCCTATGATTTAAGACTCAAAAACTAACCCAAATGGTACTTCTGAATATGCCTCTTTCCCCCAATTCTGATCCCAAGTCCCAAACGAGGTATTTGCTCTTCATCGTGTAGAAACAAACAAACCAATTCCTTTCAGGTTGCACCAAACAATTAATCAATCTTCACTGATGAGTAGATGAGCCTGGTAAACCAGAAGCAGGCATAGAAGCCAATTGTGCCAGTCAGCACAAAGAAAGCATATGAGGCAATCAGCATGTAGCCAAAGTATAAGATCCCAGACACTGGTTTTGTAATATCAAGCTTCGTGAAGAAGTAGAAAGCAGCATAGAGGAAGAGGTAAATTGCAGAGGACCCTGATGTCAGGTAAGACCTCCACCACCAAAGGTAGTCCTCACTGCACAGCTGGAAGTAGCAAAGCACAATTGTGATCTCGGCACAAGTGACAATAAAGATGTCAAAGACAATGAATAAGAAACCAAAAATGTAGTAGAACTGATGCAGCCATATTGATGTAAGGATAAAGAAGAGCTCGATAAAGACAGCTCCAAATGGAAGAATGCCTCCAATTAGAATAGAGAAAACTGGGTTCATGTACCAGGCCTGTTCTGGAATCTTCCTTGGGATCTTATTCGTTTTCACTGGATCTTCAATTGCAGGCTTCCTGAAACCAATATAACTACCAGCAAAGACAAGTGGAACTGAAATGCCAAACCATAAGAATACCAGAGCAAACATGATTCCAAAAGGCACTGCCCCAGATGATTTCTCACCCCATATTAGAGCATTCAAGACAAAGAATATGGCAAAGATCGTTGCAGGAAACATGAAAGCTGTTTTCAGAGTAATTTTCTTCCATTCTGTTCCCTTGAACATCTTATAAAGACGAGCTGATGCATATCCGGAAAAAAGACCCATAAATACCCAGAGAAGGAGCATGGCTGTCATCAACCCACCTCGATTCGATGGAGAAAGGAAACCAAGTGCAGCAAATATCATAGTAACAAAAATCATCCCAAAAAACTGAACCCCTGTCCCAGCATAGACACAGAGTAGGTCTGAGTTTGTTGGAGGCCGGAAAGCATCCCCATGGACCAATTTCCATCCTGTCTCCTCTTGGGCTTCTTCTTGGGTCTCCAGTTGGTTGTACTTGGAGATATCCTGGAAAAGTGTCCTCAACATGATCATAGCCACCATCCCCGAGAGAAAAAGAACAATCATTAAAGAATTGATAATTGAGAACCAATGAATTTGATCATCAGCCATCAAAAGATAGGTATCCCACCGAGAAGCCCACTTCACTTCGCTTTCCTGAAGGGTAAAACAAGACATATGCCAACAGTAGAAAGCAACACGATAAGCTAGAGTCATAGAAGCAAACAGAAAAAGTCACTTCTTTACATGAAAGTACATGACTGACCTCAAATGCAACATCATATGTAAATATCACATGTTTCTTATCCTCAATCACTTGAGGAGATTCAGAGCTAGTTACTGCACGCCTTGCGTGGGGATCACAGGTTGTTAAGCGTGTATTCTCATTCTTCCACTGACCTTCATAATCATGTTTAACGCTGGATTCATTTAAAATGATAAGTCAGTCTTAGAATAAAGAGCGGACTGTCATTTCACAGACAAAGGGAAGTTAACAAAAAAATGCAATTTAGAATCATAGAATCAGAGAGAATAACCTGAATGGTTTGACCTCAAACCCAACAATCCTGGCTAAATTTGACTGCGAGTCTTTGTGAAATTTGACAGTGAATGTCAAGTGATTGTGGATAAAATGTTTTTGATCTTTGCTCTGCAAACAAAAATAAATTGCTTCAGTAATCGCTATTCAGCATTCAATAATAATAATCAAAACAGATTAGATAGAGCAAGAACTTACCCCAGCATACTGCCCTTTAAGACCAACTTGGAAGCCATGTTGATACACTACCGCATTTTCCTGATCAAGCCTTGGAATGGGCACAACAAGTGGAAGATTATCCAAAATCCTGTTCCATGCAGCATTTACCAGAAAGTCACAGGAGATTTTATTAACATAAAAATCATAACCAATAGTTTAAAGAATTAGCACTCGCATGTTGACCCGGTAATCATCATCAATCTTTTCCTTGAATTCTTTTGCTGTTTTTGCATCAAGGGTTATCCGACATAAAATTCGGCACTGTTGCGGTTCTCTCATTTGAAACTGCAACAAAACATTTATGTCAACTACACAGAAGCCACAGGAGAGGACATGTGCAGAGAGAACCGACTAGCAAGCTATATTAAGACAGCTTACCACATAAGGAGAGTTTTCAATACGATCACCACGAAGAACTTCTCCAAGATTCTCTGCACTGTCAACTATACGATCTGGAGGACAATATGGGAGGGAATAGTATGAGTACGGAAGTTGTGTTTTTGTAGAAGTCAGTTTGTTTACTTTCACCTTTAACTCAGCCCCCTGTAATGGTAAACAAAATGTTGGAACTTGGCAAGCATAAAAAGATCAAAACAACAATAGATAGAGATCTTCTTCATTAAATGGAAAACACATATAAAGCATATGAAGAAACTATGCAGGAGAACATGCTTGATGTATCCACATTCCACAATGAGAAGACTGAATTAAAATCCTATCATCATAATTCATTGAGGGTAACTAATGTCACAAGCACTAGGACATTCACCTTAGAAGCATCACCACTAGCCATTTACAAACCACATAATGCAATGTTGATGGGTATAAAAGTACATAAACATTCAAGCATTGAAATAACAATCAATATTTGAGAACTTGGCTTTGATGGTAACAAGGAACATACCACACTTGCTCGGTTCCCTCCCCCAACCCCACCTTCTTCTCCATACACCACAAACACTTGGATCAAACAACACGATCATTATACATATATGTGGAAACCAGATAAATTCAAGGTCCCAAACTCAACTGAACAACATTCGCAGCAAAACTCTTTGATCTCACTTAGTTCAAAGAGATAAAAACGAAGCCAGTGATGAAAAAACACCATCCACTAGAACACAGTTAAACACAGAATAGATCACTTGAACCTTCTAAGTTACCAAATTTCCATTACAAAATCAGATTTCTATGATTAACTCATTATTTTCACCTCCAGATTGCAAAATCCCAATCTTATTTTTTTCAAAAAAGGAAACAAACAAACAAAAATTTACAAATCATTTCCTTAAAAAAAAAACAAATTTAAAATTAAGTACATAAAATCACAAGAGAACAAGAATCAAAAGCTGTCAAGAAAAAAACATTAAAAGGAAAGAAAGAAAAGGGAAAAAATATATATATCCCATGCAAACAACAACAGAATCAGTAACAATCCATCAAGGGAAAAACAAGAAGATCTAACCCAAAATCTTCGATTTCTCTGCAAAAGCAGCATAATTCTACATGCATGCATGCGTATTTAATAAGTGAAGTAAGGTGTAGAGTAAATTACAGTAATGAAATCCTGAGGGGCAACACCAGGAAGATAGAAGGAATGGGACTGATAGGCTAATAACAGCAAGAGCAAAGAAAACTTCATGAAAGAGATTCCTAATCTGAGCGCGAGAGAGACTCCCGCCATGGCTGTTATTGCTAGCTACCTAGCTAAATCAGATCTCCTGCAAACCTGCTTCTCTTCTCTATCTCTCTCTCTCAGTTTTCTTTATTCCATGTCTGTTGTCTTCTTTGGTCGCAAGAAATGGAAACGGTAGTGGAGGAGGAGATACGTGGGTGTCTGTGTGCGTGGGCTTTGTTCTGTTGTTTCTCAGATACCAATGGATGAATTAATTAATGTTTATTAGTTGGTGATTAATTAATTATTGATTACTTATTAGTAGTGGCTATGTTTTTTTTTAGTTCATAAATTTTCAAATGGGAGATTATTGATCGTTGATGTTCTTGTTTTTTTTTTTTGTTTTTGATGTGAGGTCGAGATTGATTGTATCACGGAAATTGAGGGTCCTTCTTATTATTTTCTCATTTTATAATAATTTTTTTAGTTTTTCTTAGAAAAATTAGTGTTGATAACCCTCCCTGTTTTCATTATTTTTTAGATTTTTTTATTTTTTTTAAATTAATATATTGAAAAATTCTTAAAATATATTAATTTAATATTTTTATCTTTTCAAATAAAAAATACAGTGCAATGTATTTTAAAAAAGCAGGTTGTAAAAAGTAGGTTATACCAAAAAATAAACCCTTAGTGCCAACAAATATCATTTATGAGTTGAATATATTGCATAAGCAAATATCTTCATAATAAATACACAAATTAAGCTAAATTAAATTTAAAGGTGATCTTTTTATATATTTTTTTAATAATTAATAGAGCTATAGTGTTTTGTTTCAAGGTATCGATTCTGTGCAATGTAACTATTTTTTAAAATTATTTTTTTATTTATTTAAAATAATTTTTTGAATGTTTTTAAATTAATTTTAATATATTTTTAAATAAAAAATATTTTAAAAAACAGTCCTTACCACTGAACTAAATAGTAACATGAAGTAGGATACTTTATTTTAACAGCTTTTTAGTCCAATAAATATGCTAATCAAGTGATAATCCAAACCTAGAATTATTTTTGTATAAACTTCAAACTATTGGATAATATAGATTTTATCAAGTAATTATATTATTTGATTTTTCAATTAAAGATTTATGTTTGGAATCATTTAACACAAAACATGAAATTACCTAGATAATGACATTGTTTCTTAAAAAATAAATTGAAAACAAAATCTATTATATTCAGATTTTCTAATTTATTTATTTTAAAAAAATTATTAAAGGAGTACAAACTCTTAATAATAACAAACTATTTTAAAAAATATTTAATGATAAAATTAAAAATTAAAAATTTACGCTGAAAATATTAAATGATTTGATAACAAATTATTAAATTTTGAATAATAAAATTAAAAATTAAAAATAAAATTTAAAAACAACACCAAACAAAGGAACACACATTTTGAGAGTGAAAGTGACCTTGCAAGATGGTGGAGAACACAAAGGGAGAAAAGGAAAAAGTGAGATCGTGGAGTGGAATTGGATCCCCCATGATCCCGTCACCACGCAACCACCTTGTTGGTATTTTTTGTCTCTTTTCGGGTGCATGATCTCATCCTAAGAACTTGTTTGCTAGAGTGATAGTTTTTGTATTTTGAGTTAACCATAAAAATAATATGTCGACGGTAGTGTTTGATATTGTGATAATAATTATTTTATAAAATGTTTTTAATTTAAAAATATATTAAAATAATAATTTTATTATTTTTTAAAATTTATTTTTAATATCAAAATATCTTAAATCATAAAAAAATAATTTGAACTAAGAATAAATTCAAGAATTTTTAAATATTTTTTAAACACAAAAATAAACACACTTAACCTATATTTGAGAGTGGAGCCCAAACAAAGATTAACCAAACATGTTTTTGCTTAACATTAGTTTTTTTAAGTTCTCAAATCGTTTGGATGTATTGATATTAAAAATAATTTTTTTTATAAAAAAAGCAACTTAACATTAATTTTTTTTTAAATTTTCATATCGTTTTGATGTGTTGATATAAAAAATAAATCTAAAAAAATATATTTTTAAACAAAAAATACTTTAAAAATTAATCATTGTCACACTCTCAAACCTCTCTATTATAAATTTAAAAGAAAATTGTGATGAGTTAGTTGGACAATTTTAAATTCAAGATTTTTTTATAAAAATATTTTAGAGAAGAAAAAAATAACTATTGTATCTAAATACATTTTCCTATCTTTAACTTCTATTTTAAAAGTATAAAAAGATAAATTTATTTTTATATCTTTATCTTTATCTCTTTAACTAATATGTTTCTATCATTATCATCTTTGTATTTTTATCCCATCATAGTAAACAAATGCCGTCTTAAATAGTTAATGACTGACAATATGCTTAATTTTTTTAATAAATATGCTTTTTTTTTTAATAATTATCAAATTCAACTAATGACTGACAATATGCTTAATTTTTTTATAAGTTAAGATCTAACTTAGTTATAAGTTTGGGTCATGAGTTGACTGAGCTAATTCACATTCAATGAGCCAATCTAGATATATCCTAAAATGATATTATTTTATTTTTTTATATTAAAAAATTTATAAACATTATTGTTCTGGATTAAAAAAAAACAAAGTTAACCCTTAGAATAGGACTAAGAAGATCTCTTCTAAGTTTGATTAGGTAAATTTTTTAAACGGGTCAAAAACAAACCTTGTCTGGGTTAGGATTTGAATACATAAATCAATGAATCAATCCGTTGAGTTGGATATAATTACAATTTTTTCAATGTTTTCATTCATTTTTTTTTCATGTTTTTCTCTTATTTACTTCTCACAAAACCTCATGCATATTCAACAAATACTTTTAAAATTTAAAAACCATTCCCTATACTAAAACATATAATGTGCTACCACCTTCTTTTTTTCCCTTCAATTTCTTCTTCTTTTTTTTTTTTAATTTGTTCCTTTTTTAAAAAGTCATCTAGGTTATTTTTAAATTAGTCAGGTCAATTGAATCATATTAGGTCAACTTGCACAATTTAATTTTAAATTCAAGTTAGATAAAAAGTCAAATCATAAGATTTTTATTGTTTCAATTTTATTTTTTTTCAATTTCATCGTCAAATATTTTATCAATCAATCGAGTCATTTTTAGACCATCCAAGTTAGTTAAGTTATGCTAGCGAGACTTCCACATGGTTTAACCCTGGGTAAGCAAGAAATTGGATCAAAGATTTTATATGTTAATTTCATCTTTTTTCTCATAATGTCATCCTTGTATTTTTTTTACTAATTAGTTAGGTTGTATTTAAATTTGCTAAGTTGATTCAGTCATGTTGGAACAACTCCTATACAATTTAATTTTAAAACTAAACTAGATAAAAAGTAGGGTCAAAATGTTTTAAAATTAATGTATTAGTATGAATGTAATAACAATATGAATTAATTTTTTATAACTTGAATATTTTTTATTGTATTAAAAAATTGATTTGACTCACAAATTAATATATAGATTGTAAACTAATTTTCATTATGAAAATTAAAAAACGATCCCATTATTTGTTTTTCTCGGCTATTCATAGAAAATGATAACCTTGGAGCTTTTTGTCAAGACAAAAATTTGACCTTCAAAATTTTTAAATTATAAAAACCAAAGTAGAACATTGGAGTATTTACAAGGATTATAATATAGTTTACCTTTTTAACCCGAGAAGTCAAGAGACTTGCGTGGCCTTGGGTTCACAGATAATTGAGTCCATATGCAATAGCCGACCTAGATCTAGACTTTCTTAAGCTAGAAAGGCCAAAAAAATTATTCCGTAACTAACCACAAGCTAGCCATTAAAAGAGACTATTTATTTTTTAAAATGGTATTTAATTTAACCGTACTTTAAAAAAATGATTTTTTTATTTTTTAATATGTTACATTAAAAATTATTTTAATATATTTTTAAATAAATATTATTTTCGTGTATATGTTTTGTAGTATGATAAAAATTATTTTTCAAAGTGATATTTATTTAAAAATATATTAAAATAATTTTTATTTTATTTTTAAAATTTATTTTTGTCATTCACAAATTAAAACGATCCAAAAATATAAAAAAATAATTTAAATCTAAAAAAATAAAAATTTATAAATTTATAATTGAACCAAAATACTAAACTAACCTTCAAAAATTTAGATTGAGAACTCAAGTTATATAAATCTATTATTGATTTATGGTAAGTTGAGCTCCACGCCATAAATTATGTGCAAGAGAGAAAAGTTTTGTTATAGATAGTCTTAGTCCATGAACATCATTATCATAAAGAGTTTTATCAAACTTTTTTAATATAACAAGTCACGATTCTACCTTATTTTTCTATATAATTGTGCTATTAAAAGAGTGATGTGTTTTTTTATTCATACCACCAACAAAATTAAAATAATATTTTTATTAAAAAAAAAACTATAAGCTTGTCAGCTTTAACCCACTCGTTATGGATTCCATAAACTAATTGTCTTTTTAATCAAAGTTAATTTGCACGTGCATCGTCTTGAAGTTATACTTCCAGATAACTTGTTAGGTCAGTCACAGCGTGTTTATTATTAATTAATCAATAGTAATTAGTCAATCACAATTACCAAAGAGCTTAGATGATATCGTCCAGCTAATTAAATTATTCGCGTCCAGAAAAATAATTGCTTACCATGAGTACGGCGTCCGACGGTGTTTATTGACTGAATCCAGGTTTAGCAGGCCTTTGGGGTGGAAGAAGCTCGATTTTGTTGGCTCGTGATTGTTTGGTAATGTGATTGGAGGTAAAATATACTTGTAGTTATATTAATAAATATTTGGTAATTAAAATAAAAATGTTTTCAGTGGGTAGGATTTATACGGCACTGCAGGTTTTGGAAAAGCAGTATTTTACTGCTTCTCGTCTGAAAAAACAATGTGGAGCCATGCTCCATCATTGTACTATTTATTAAAATGAATAGTTTTTTTATTTTAAAAAACAAGTATAAGTGATTTAATTTATTTTTTATAATTTATACAAATAAATTTAGGTTTTTTTTAATAAATTTGTATAATTAATTGATTTCACTTGTACTATTCACATAAATATAAACAATACTTTTTTATTAAAAAAATAATTTAAGATGAATTAAATTTACTCATACTGTAATTTTATTTTTATTCTTGATAATATTTTATCTAATTTTATTACACGCTTAAAAAAT